AAGATTCTGGAGGAGGACTTCCGTCGCCGCCAACTGAGGGGTGGGGACGACGGCAGCAGCGGCTACGGAATGCAAGGGAACCGACGTGGCAGAGGACGTGGCTTCGGTGGTGCTGGGCGCGGTGCAAAGAAGGACGACGACTCCAACGACCAACAAGGAGGTACCGGTTGGGGTCGCGGTGCGAAATCTGGACGTGGGGGCAAGTCGGGTGCTGGTGGCAAAATGAAAGGGAGTTGCTGGTATTGTGAGAAGGAGGGGCACCCCTGGTTTTTGTGCTATAAGAAACCCGATGGATGGACCCCCCAGAATCGTCAACAGGATGGCGGCGTGCAAAGGAACCAGAAAAACGGCGCGAACATGGTCGCTGATTCGTCCGACAACAACCCGAAGAGCAACGGTGGTGCGGAGAAGAAGAAGGAGCGCACCGCGGGCCAGTTCTTCCATATTGGAGAGCAGGGGGAGCAAGGAGACGCCTCTGCCAAGGTTGGAGCAGAGCTGCACCCCCTGGACTATTGGGTGTTGGACACGGGCGCTGCTTGGACGATGACGCCGCGCAAAGACCTGCTGGACGACGTACGCGCTGCACCGATTAACGAGGTGTGCTCCGCCTCTGGACACTCGCTGAAGGTGGCTGGTGCGGGACGAGCTGCGTTTAAGGGAGCGGATGGCAAGCCGGTGGTGCTGCACGACGTTCTCCTCGTTCCCGACCTCAAGGCCAACCTCATCTCCCTCCGTAAGCTTGCCAAGGCTGGGGTGAGCACTAGCACGGATGGGGCTCGCACGTACAAGGGGCAGCTGGGCAATCGGGTGCTTTGGGATCTGCACGAAAGCAAGGACGTGTACAGATCTATGTGGCAGCTGCCGGCGTTGGCGTGGCACGGTGGGGGGCAGGCTAGAGAGGGGTCTGCATCCCAGGGGGAGTGCAACGCCGTTGGAGGGGTTGGCGTGAAAGTGTCGGCCAGATCTGGGGAGACAGATTGGGTAAGAGCACACCGACGCTTGGGGCATGTGGCAATGCCCTTATTGAAGCAGCTGGAGAACGATGGAGCCGTCAAGGGTTTGAAGCTGAATGGACAGCCACCCGATGACAACTGTGAAATCTGTTTGCTTTCAAAGTTCACCCGTTTCCCTTTCCATAGTGTGGCTGGCAGGAGCAAGAAGCCTTTGGAGCTGGTCCACATGGACTTGGTGGGGCCGCTGCCGGTGCAAGGGCACAAGGGGGAGCGGTATTTTCTTACAATTGTGGATGACTGGAGCAGGCTAATGTGGGCGTATCCGCTGAAGCAGAAGGATCACGCCGCCTCCACGATTCGGGACGATTGGCTGCCGTTCGTGGAGAAGCAGGCGGAGTATGTAGTGAAGCGGATTAGGACAGACCGGGATGGTGAGTTCCTTGGAGCTGAGATGACGGCTTGGCTCAAGAAGCAGGGCATCCAGAGGGAGCTGACCACGGCTTACACCCCACAGTCGAACGGCGTAGCAGAACGGGCGAACCGGACAATTCTGGAGACAGCTAGGGCGCTGCTCATAGAATCTGGGCTGAGCAACTCGATGTGGCCCCATGCTGTCTGACACGCCACCGTCGCTAGGAACAGGGTGCTCACTAAGGTTGGGGATGACTCGTGGGTGCCGTTGGAGAGGTGGCTTGGGAGGAAGCCGCCGGTGGACATGCTGAGGGTGTTCGGTTGCATGGCAGTCGCCCACGTCCCCAAGACCTACCGCAGTAAGTTGGGGGCGAGTGCAATCTGGTGTGTGCATTTGGGGCTGGCTGCTGAGAGCAAGGGATGGCTGCTGTGGGAACCATCCAAGGGTGTGTTGTTTGACAGCAGGGATGTGAAATTCATTGAGGGCATGATGTATGGGAGCTGGGAGAAATAGCCGGAGGCCCGGGTGTCCCAGCAGATGGAGCAGATCACCATGCAGCTGGACCTGACTCCTAGTGTGTGGGAGGAGGGAGAGAAGGCAGCTGCGGGAAATGGTGATGGAGAGAAGGTACAGGAGGCACCTGCTGGTGGAGAAAATGGTGTGGAAAGTGGCGGCAGCACTAGTGAAGCTGCTGGATCCAAGGGAGGAGAGCAGCAGCAGGGGAAAACTAAGAAGCCGAAAGGTGTCGTTATGAAGGGATGGGAGACACCCGTCTCCAGGCCAGGACGTACCCGTATGGCTACTAAGAAGCTGACTGCAGGAACTGATGCAGCAGAGCAGCAGCTAGGGACCGAAGAGGCATTGCTGATTCTACCGCATGGCTATGACCCGGATGAGCCTGCATACTGTTTTCTTGCCCCTGCACCAGAGGAACCAGCTAGCATGGAGGAGGCATTAGCTGGACCAGATAGGGACAAGTGGCTGGCTTCTAGGGATGCTGAGTACCAGAGCCTGCTGGAGAATGGGACTTGGGAACTAGTGGTGCTGCCTGAGGGAAAGAAAGCGGTACAATGCAAGTGGGTGCTAAGGATCAAGACTGACGACAAGGGGCAGGTCACCATCTACAAGAGTAGGTTGGTGGCTAAGGGGTTTATGCAGAAGGAGAAGCAGGACTTCAACGAGATCTTTGCTCCCACTGCCAAACCCCTACCCTCCGTGTCTTGTTGGCAGATGCAGCTGTTAGTGGGAAATTCATCATTCAGATGGATATTTCAACGGCATTCCTGAATGGGATTTTAGAGGAGGATGTGTACATGACGCAGCCGCCTGGGTATGAGGATGGTACGGGCAGGGTGTGCAAGCTCAACAAGTCCATCTACGGCTTGAAGCAGGCGCCACGCTGTTGGTACCAGAAGTTGGCAGCTGTTTTAGAGGAGATGGGATTCAGGACCAGCAGCTGTGATGAGAGCCTCTTTCTCAAGGGCGAGGGGGAGAAGCTGGTGCTGTTTCTGGTCTACGTGGACGACATTCTTCTCTTCAGCAGCAGCATGAAGGAGATCCAGAAAGTGCAGCAGCAACTGATGGAAAACTTCAAGTGCAAGAACCTTGGGGAGGTAAAGTACTACCTCGGGATGCACGTGGAGAGGGATCCTGATCACAGGTGGTTGAAGCTGCACCAGGAGAAGTTCATCAAAGAGCTGGGGGAGAAATATGGGATTGAGAATGAGCGCAAGGTTGCAACTCCCCTGCCAGCAGAATTCAAGCTTGTGAAGGCTGCAGAGGATGAAGGGGTTGAAGCCGAGGAGCAGCAGCAATTTCAGTCCTTGGTGGGCAGCCTCTTGTACGCAGCAGTTCACACGAGGCCCGACATCTCTTTCTCGGTTGGGCAGCTGGCTAGGGTGGTGCAGAATCCATCAGAGGAGCAGGTGGATGCAGCTGAGCGTGTGGTGAAGTACCTGAACTCTCACCCAAGCATTGGAGTTCAATACTCCGCATCTGCACAGGTGAAGCAGAAAGGGGTGGAGGTGCTGAAAGAGAAGGGGGAGAGGCTTGGAGAAGGCAAGCTCTTTCTCACTTGCTTTACTGATGCTACTTGGGCTTCTGAGAAGGAAGATTCTTCATCTGTGGGAGGATACATCTGCGTAGTTGGGGGAGGACCTGTTAGTTGGAGGTCCAAGAAGCAGACGGAGACGGCACTCTCTTCCGTAGAATCAGAGTACATGGCAATGTTTCATGGGGTGAAGGAGGTGATTTGGCTGAGGAGGCTGTTAGAGGAGATTGGCCAGGAGCAGAAAGTTGCTACGCCGCTGTTTTGTGATAGCAAGGGGGCTCTTGGGATGGCCAGGAACGCTGTGCTTCATGGGCTGAATAAGCACATGCGTATCAAGTGGCACTGGCTGCGTAAGGAGGTGAAGAGGGGGACGATGAATCCGATCTACATCAAGACTCACCAGCAGCCAGCAGACTTTCTCACCAAGAGGCTTGCGGATGAGCCTCATTGGCGTTGTGTGCGCATGAATGGAATGAGCATGAACTAGCATGGAATGATGAGGATGCAGCCGGCAGGCTGAGGGGGAGTGTGTTGGGTGCAAATGCACATTGCACGACATCCTGCCGTCTGTTTGTACGAGTATGCGTGTGCGAATGCATTTGTGTGTGAATGGAATGTTCGTATGTTTGTTTGCTTTCGCAATTTTTGCTTGATGCATTTGCAGGTACTCGCGCAATGTGCACTTCGGCACAACATTGTACGTGCTATGAACAGTGCAAGCAGAAAGGACGAGCTCGCAAAGGAACCCAAGATGGAAGCTTTGCGGTTCGGTTGAATTGATTGCGCAGATTCAGTTCTATTCAACTCGAAATTGTACTGTTTTGCTTGGTTGACTATAGTGTAGCAGGGCAGGCACTATAGGGGTACAATTTGGGTGAAGGTTGGATGTTGTTTGTCTGTATCTGCATGCTACAGGGCCAGGGGAAACCAGCGGAACCAGCATTTGGCTGGTTGGGCCAAGACAAAACAGGTTCTGTTTTTAGAACCTGAACCTGGTTGTTGTTTTCCCAGGTTGGAAAAACATAACCAGAGGTTGTTTACCAACCTACCACCTGCTATTTTGTCCAGCCAGGTTGGTTCTGTTGCTTGGAATTATTTGGAATCATCCCTGGTTGTTCCCAGGTTGATTCCCAAGGTCTTTGCTAGCTAGAACTATTTAATCCTTAAATGCTTGTACCTGAATATAGTCAATTGATTCAAGCGAATTCCTTCCTCGCTGGAATTTCGTTTCTACGCGGTTCGTTGGCGGAATGCTACCCGAGTCAACGCTAGTACGCTAGCACTCTAATGCTAGGCAAACACCGTCCGAGCCATAACTTCGTAATGGCAGAACTTTTCGCAAGGCAACTTGGCTCATTTTAAAGCTCTTGGAGCGAGCTTCAATATAGCGAATTCTCAGCTTAATCCGATCGACGGTCTGCACGGCACGCTGCGCGACGTTCAAGGTAGTCTTGTTCTTTTGGCTAAGTCACTCTTTACTCCTCTCTCTACAAACTCGGATCCGAGGATAGGGGCTGGTCTTGTACCAGGCACCCAGGGACCCTTGGAGGTGACCCCGAGGAGAGGTTTTAAGTTTGATTAAGTCTTAATAGCCTGAGTTTATTAGGCCCTTACACCAACATGTGTGAGTATGCGTATGTGTTTGTGTATTTGTATGTGTGTGTATGCGTGCGCGCGTATGCGCAGTGCCCACACACGTTATGTTGTTGTTGTTCTTATTGTTGTTCTTCTTGTTGTTGTTGTTCTTGTTGTTGTTGTTGTTGTTGTTGTTGTTGTTGTTGTTGTTGTTGTTGTTGTTGTTGTTGTTGTTGTTGTTGTTGTTGTTGTTGTTGTTGTTGTTGTGTGGGAACGAGTATGTGTGTGACATCCTGCATTCGCACACACATACTCGTACAAACAGACGGCAGGATGTCGTGCAATGTGAATTTGCACCCAACACCAGGTACAAACAGAGAAGGAATATATAGTTCTAGCTAGCAAGGACCTTGGGAATCAACCTGGGAACAACCAGGGATGATCCCAAATAATTCCAAGCAACAGAACCAACCTGGCTGGACAAAATAGCAGGTGGTAGGTTGGTAAACAACCTCTGGTTCTGTTTTTCCAACCTGGGAAAACAACAACCAGGTTCAGGTTCTAAAAACAGAACCTGTTTTGTCTTTGCCCAACCAGCCAAATGCTGGTTCCGCTGGTTTCCCCTGGCCCTGTAGCATGCAGATACAGACAAACAACATCCAACCTTCACCCAAATTGTACCCCTATAGTGCCTGCCCTGCTACACTATATTCAACCAAGCAAAACAGTACAATTTCAAGTTGGATAGAACTGAATCTGCGCAATCAATTCAACCGAACCGCAAAGCTTCCATCCTGGGTTCCTTTGCGAGCTCGTCCTTTCTGCTTGCACTGTTCATAGCACGTACAATGTTGTGCCGAAGCACACATTGCGCGAGTACCTGCAAATGCATCAAGCAAAAATTGCGAAAGCAAACAAACACACGAACATTCCATTCACACCCAAATGCATTCGCATACGCATACTCGTACAAACAGATGGCAGGATGTCGTGCAATGTGCATTTGCACCCAACACTTTTCGCGAGGCAACTTGGCTTGTTTTAAAGCTCTTGGAGCGAGCTTCGATATAGTGAATTCTCAGCTTAATCCGATCGACGCACGCTCTGCACGGTACGCTGCGCGACGTTCAAGGTACTCTTGTTATTTTGGCTAACTCATTCTTAACTCCTCTCTCTACAAACTCGGACCCGAAGATAGGGGCTGGTCTTGTACCAGGCACCCAGGGACCCTTGGAGGTGACCCCGAGGAGAGGTTTTAAGTTTGATTATGTCTTAATAGCTTGAGTTTATTAGGCCCTTATACCAACACAATGTTCGATGCCTTTTTGTAGGTGATCGTATAATAGAAATTTGACTCGAGGAAGTCGAACCAACGAACCTTTCATGGGTTGAGGTGCGGCTCTGCGTGGAGGTTGGTCCGTCCGTACTATCACGTCTGCGCCAGTCAAGTAACAGCGCCAGAATTTGATGGCGTGCACAATCACAAGCATTTCAGGCGGGTGCAGTTTTCGTGACTCGTATGCGATGGGCTGTTTGCCGTTGCCGAAATCCTGTAACAGTACAGCTCCGGTGGTGATGTTGCATGCGTGTGTAATTACTTTGAATGGGCGGTATCGATCGGGACTGCGTAGTACAAGCGGTAAGCAGAGAACAGTTTTCAGGGCAGAGAAGGCAGCATGCTCTTTCTCCCCCCACGTAAACGCCAATCCCTTCTGCAGTAAATTCGTCAGTGGGGCCGTTAAGCCCACCATGTCGGGAACCGACGGACGCAATTAACATAACCCAAAAAACTCTGCATTTCCGCGTTGTTGGTCGGGGGACGCCACGCTTTTACCTTGTCTAACCTCTTTGGGTCAATTTTGACTGCAGCCTCTGATATAATGTGCCCCATAAATTCTAATCGGTCCTGGACAAACTCACACTTCGAACCCTTGGTCAGTAGGCGATTCTGGTCTATGATTTCAAACACTGCCTCCAAATCTGCTAAGTGCTGTTGCTTGTCGCGACTGTAAACGAGGATGTCGTCGATGATTATCTAAAAGTGGCCTAAACGTCTCGTTCATGGTCATCTGAAAAGTGGCCGGTGCGTTGGCTGGTACTGTATACTCGTTTGACCCGTAACCAATTCTAAATGCCATCTTGGTGCAGTCCGATGGTTCGACCCTAAACTGATGGTAACCTATTTTTTTTAAATCCCGTGCTGTTCGAAGTTGGTCTATCAGTTCATCGGCGTGGGGGAAGTGGAATCGCGACTTGATTGTTACCCTGTTCAGTGCACGGTAGTCGATGCACATGCGAAACCCTCCGTCTTTTTTCGGTGTGAACAGTATTGTGTGGCAAACGGTGAAGAACTCGGTCAGATGAATTTTATCTCTAATAGCTTATCTAACTGCTTCCTCAGTTTGTCGGGCGGTTTGTATCAGTCTGAACTGTCGTTGTACGGTTGGCTGTGCCCCGGGCTCTAAATCTATGCGGTGGTTATGTGCTCGCTGAAGTGGCAGTCACTCTGGTAAGTCGTCCGGAAAAATTCCCGGGCACCATTTCAGTAGTTACTGTACCTCAGTCTATACGGCTGCCAGCAGTTTCTGGAAATCACTCGGCTGCTTTGCTTCTCCCACCAATGCGATATCCATCGTATACACATCAGCTCCAGCAACGACAACCGGTTTCATCGTGATGGCGTTGCCGTGGACCGTTAAAGACTCAGGTTACTGCCAGCAAGGTAGTTTGACCCAGCTACCACTACTTCGCACAGTGCAGCTACCCGTCGTCCAGTCAATTCGCGGGTTATAACGTCCCAGCCAATCACGTCCCAGTAAAATGTCGTGCCCATCCAGTTTTATCGCGAGAATTTCTTGTGTAAATCCCAAGTTCTCCCCGCAGTGAACTTTCACTCTCTCCACTTTCTCTCGTATGGCCAGTGCCATGCCGTCAACTAAGCGTGCGTCGACCTCCGGTAAACAGCGGCTAAGTGTCAATTGCAGCTTCCGTGAAATTGCGGTCTTAACTAAACTATAACTTGCTCCTCCGTCTATAAAAATATTCACTGCTACCCCGTGTAATTTCCCGTGAATCAGTATTGGGCAATCCATCGCTGCACCCTTATTATTTATCCGAGCTCGATTGACGGCGTAAATTGGTACTGTAACTAGGTAAAGGTTAGTAAGGTCGGGCGAGCAATTGGTCTCGTCAGTAGTGGGCCCGTTCTCTACTGGCTGCTGGGATTTCCCTGCCTTTGAGTCTCCCCCCCCTACTCTGTTCCATGGTACCTTAGCTCCTCTGGGCATTCGCTCTTGCAATGGCCCGGCCTGTTTCAAGCAAAGCAGCGCCCCTTGAATGGCGCAGCAACTGCGTTCGTCGCAACGGCGTGTATGGTGGCGTACTCGGTCGGTCCCCGAGCATGATGTCCGTAGTAGAACTCTGGTCTCGGATGGCGCAAAATGCTGGTTTTCTCGGTAAGCGCGACAATTTTGTTGAAGTTGGATAGCCCGCGAACCCTGATCTCGTGCGAGATGTCTAACTTTATTCCGCCGACGTAACGGACCACCTGCTTTGCCTCGTGCATGTAGCCGACTTGCTCGCACAGAGCGAGAGAACCGCTGGTGTATTCTTGAACCGACCCGAGCTGCCACCAAGTGCGCAGTCCATGATGGGCCCCCGTAATAGCGAGACCACATATCTGATATTTGCTGCGTTCGACGTAACGTAATTGGCGTAAAAAAACACGTGCATCGTAAAGACCCACGATTAAATCGTCGGACCTCCGCGTTGACTAGGATTGAAGCATGGCGGACGTTGAGGTTTGAGTGGCATCTGCTCGCTGCAAATCCGATGTAATTACGGGCTTCGAGAGGTACGTTCACGGTCGGAATGGCCCTGTTTCTCTCCATGCCAAGCATTGACTGGGCGGCGCTATCACTGGCTGCGTCTGAGCACTGTCCCACGCTGTCGTTATGTGATGGTGTACCAGACGAGATGACAATTGGCTCTTCTGACTGCACAGGTGCATTTGCATGTGACAGTGTTGATGCTAGTGCATTCGCACTTGATTGCTGTCGGGCGAGGCCGCGTTCCGTCGTGAGCGTCGCCATCTTGAGTGCCGAATCCTCGGTTTGGCGCACGAGTCGGTCGAGCTGCTCTTGCGTCAGTGTCGCGAGATTGAATTCGGCCAAGGCGGGGGTATCGGGCGAGCTCAGCGAGAGCATCAATCGTGGCTGTGAGAGCACTTCGAGCGGCAGTGCTTGGACGCTAAAGACGTCTACGCTAAAAATAGAGATGGTGGGGAAGCGAAGGTGTGGATGCGGTCCGAGAAGAGATCGTATGCTCAAAATATGTAGCGAAGCTAGTGCGGTAAGAATGATGTGTGAAAAGTGAGGTGGACTAGGAGCCTAGCGCCGAGGCTGGGAATTGTCCATGCGGATGTTCGGAGCACCGGTTACCAACCGAATCGTAAGGTTGGGTCGCGTCGTTAACAGTGGCGGGAACAGAAGTCGAGGCAAGTGTCGCGAGTGGTAACGGTGTACTGTTGGGAACTGTTGGCGGGAATTGTGGGGTGCAAATTCACATTGCACGACATCCTGCCGTCTATTTGTACGAGTATGCGTGTGCGAATGCATTTGCACGTGAATGGTGTGTTCGTGTATTTGTTTGCTTTCGCAATTTTCGCTTGAAGCATTTGCAGGCATCGTGCAATTTCGGCACATTGTACGCACTATGAACAGTGCAAGCAGAAAGGACGAGCTCGCAAAGGAACCCAAAGGTGAAAACTTTGCTGTTCGGTTTAATTAATTACGCAGCTTCAGTTCTATCCAACTCGAAATTGTACTGTTTTGTTTGGTTGACTATAGTGTAGCAGGGCAAGCACTATAGGGGTACAATTTAGGTGAAGGTTGGATGTTGTTTGTCTCGATCAGCATGCTACAAGGCCAGGGGAAACAAGAAGGGCCAGGGAGCTGGTGAAGCAGAGCAGCAGCTTGGAAATAAGGAAGCGTTACTGATTTTGCCTCAAGGTTATGAACCGGATAAGGAGAACAAGCCTGCGAATAGTTTTCTTGCCTCTGCATAAGAAGAACCAGCCAGCATGGAGGAGGCATTAGCTGGACCAGATAGGGACAAGTGGCTGGCTTCTAGGGATGCTGAGTACCAGAGCCGGCTAGACAATAAGGATTGGGAACAGGTTGTGCTGCCTGAGAAGATGATAGCGGTACAATGCAAGAGGGTGCTGAGGATCAAGACCGACAACAAAGGGGCAGGTTACCATCTACAAGAGTAGGCTGGTGGCTAAGGGATTTATGCAGAAGGAGGAGCACTTCGATGAGATCTTTGCTCCCACTGCCAAACCCCCTACCCTCCGTGACTTGCTGCCAGATGCAGCCATTAGTGGGAAGTTCATCATTCAGATGGATATATCAACGGCATTTCTCAATGGAATTTTAGAGGAGAAGGTGCTCATGACCCAGCCGCCTGGGTATGAGGATGCTACGGGCACGATGTCCAAGTTGCAAAAGTCCATCTACGGCATGAAGTAGGCGCCACGCTGCTGATACCAGAAGTTGGCAGCTGTTTTAGAGGAGATGGGATTCAGGACCAGCAGTTGAGATGAGAGCATCCTTCTCAAGGGCGAGGGGGAATAGCTGGTGCTGTTACTGTTGGTGTAAGGGCCTAATAAACTCAAGCTATTAGGACTTAATCAAACTTAAAACCTCTCCTCGGGGTCACCTCCAAGGGTCCCTGGGTGCCTGGTACAAGACCAGCCCCTATCCTCGGGTCCGAGTTTGTAGAGAGAGGGATCAA